CCCTGGGGGGGTGATTTCTCGCTTTCTGTCTCTGTCTCTCTCTGTCTGGCGAGTGCACACGCCCTATGGCAAAAACCTCTCCAAAAAAAGAAAAAAAACTATATATATAAGAAACAAGAAATGGAAAATTATTGGTTGATGATAACATGTATGGCTATATCTTTGATTGAGCCAATATGCAATGTATACTGGATGGAAAATCTCATTTTGTATACTGTATTGATGTACAGTGAATGACTGTAAAAATAACTTTAAAAAATTAATAATAACAACACACAGTAACTTTGGTGCTAGAAGAGACTATCTGCTCTCGTTTTATAAATGAAGAGATGGTTCATTAGGGTATATCCTGGTCAAGGTCACATGTATCCTTCCCCAGAGTACTGTGCGTATAAAAGGCCTTCAGTTACTGGGGACATCTAGAGCTTCCCTGGATTTGAAAGTAAAAACTATTGCTGGTGGCTTGCTTTCTCTCTTTCTCTCTCTTTCTCTCTCTTTCTCTCTCTCTCTGTCCCTCTCTGGTCAAATTAAAATAAACAAACAAATAAATAAACAAGCAAGCAAGCAAATAAAGTTAAATAAAAAAATAATTCTTTAAAAAAATTAATAAAAAGGCCTCAGTGATCACCTGATTCTAAACCACAGACTGTTGACTCGCCCTCCGCCCTCCGGCTCTCTCTGAGGGATGCATGTGGCAGCTGCTGCTCAGCCAGCTGACATTTCTGACTTGATGGAGCCAGAAGGCACATATAATCCAGAGCAGTCATCTTCCTGCTCAACAGCTGGATGTCTGTTTGGATTTATCTGTTTTTGCCTGCTTTGGTTTATGATGGTAACCCTGTGTAAGGTTGCTGTGTGGAAGTACGGGCTTGGCAGGGCACACTAGTGTCGCAGTAGCCTTCCTTTAAAGTCTTCTACCTCAAAGGAAATTTCAAGTAGGGAACAAAGAAACACTTTCTCATGGTTATTCTTTTAAACCATTCTTCCTATCCCACAACCCTTTGTAACGCTGGTAGAGGAGGACTGGGTCTTTCTTTTTTCTTTTTTCTTTTTCTTTTTATTTTTTTGTTAACTTGACAGAGGATTGAAGGCCTCAAGATGTTACTCATCTAAAATTATACATTTAGTATATTGAGTGGGCACTGGCAAAAAGGGTGATGGGAGAAGTGACAGTCTTCCAAATTAGGATTTGTTCCATTCTTTCATGGCTGTTTGATATGAATAGTTTGTGCATAAGAGTTATTCATGCTTTTGGGCCTAGACATGATATTTTAATGAGGAATCAACCTATCAGTAAGGATTCAGTGCTGTGATTCAGTGACTCTTAGCTGTGTTCATAGTTATGACAAATGGCTAATTAAAATGAAAAGTACATTGATAACTAACTGTAATAACTCATTCTGCCACATACTAAGAACTCGCTCCACCTAAACCCCTTCTATTAATATAGAACAGAAGCATATGGTTAAAATTTAGAAGGCTAGGTTCAAAACAGTGACGTGGACGGGACCAACAGTTAGCGTAATGGCTATGTCGCTGGACTCCCACGTAGTCGACCGCAGTTCGAGTCCCGGACCCGGCAGCTTAAACTCAGGCTGGGCACATGTGCGTCTGTGCCCAAGATCTCTACAGGAGAATGGAGGAAAAGGGATTGTGGCGTGGCCATCCTCCCTGGGGGGTGATTTCTCTCTTTGTATCTCTCTGTCTCTGTCTATCTTTCTGGCGAGTGCACGTGCTCTATAGCAAAAACCTCTCCAAAAAAAAAATCTATAGAAAAAACCCCCCCAAAAAAAAAAAAAAAAAAAAGGTGACATGGAGGTTGCCAGCTGGATCCAACATGGCTGACTGCATGGTTTGAGTCCCTCAATCTCTGTTTCTCTCCATCAAGTACACGTGCCCTATAGCAATCTTTAAAATAAAAAAAAAATTAGAAGAGTATGTAACCAGGGCCAGCAGATGGCATGGATATTAAGGCAGCTGGATCCAGAGGCTTGAAAATAATACCAGGTGAGTGTGTTTGCATGCTCAAAATTCCGAGAATGAAGGAGAAGGGTTTGTGGCATGGTCATCATCCTGGCGGGTGATATCTCACAGCCCACCCCCCATCTCTCTGGCAGGGAAAAAAAAAAGTCTGTGTAACTAGACTACATAGTACATACTACTAGTATGTACTACATTCTTCTGGAATGTAGTATGTACTCAGGACATGTTAGGTATTAATCGTTAAAAGTAATCATAATTGGGTCCACAGGTGATGTGGTGGTTTAAGGCACTGGACTCCCACATGGTTGACCATGGTTCAAGTCCCTGATCTGGCGACTTTCTCTCTCTCCCTCATGAGCACACATGCCCTGTAACAAATTAAGAAATAATAATAAATAAAGTTTGGTACAGTGGATAGCATAATGGTTACATTGCTAGACTCCCATGTAGTTGACTGTGGTTCAAATCTCAGACCTGGTGGCTTCAAACTCACACCAGGCGCATGTGTGTGCATGCCCAAGATCCCAAGGGGAGAATGGAGGAGAAGGAATTGTGGCCACCCACTGGGGGAGGAGGTAATTTCTTACTTTCTGTCTCTCTGGCTAGTACACATGTCATATAGCAAAAATCTCTCTAAAAATAAATAAATAAATAAAATAAAATAAAATAAGATGTAATAAATTAAATAATTCTTTTAGAGAAAAGCAATCATAATAATAAAAAATATTACTCCTCCTCCCCCTCCTATAAGTCCAAGTCTTCTAGTCCAAGTTATAGTTCAGTTGTATTTAAAGAGAATTAAAGTTGACTCACCCTTACACATACTTTCTTCTCCTAGCAGTTGGGATATTAAGGGGCAGTAGGAGAATTAACCCTCTTTACGAGGTGTGCTGAAAATATTCTGATTTCCCGATCCACTTTGGCTGTGCTTCCTACACATTTGGGGAAGTAGCCTGCTTGACTGGATCTAGAAAAGAGTGTTCCAAGCTCCCTTAAGGCTGGAAAACCAACCACATACTAATCAAATGAGCTAGATTCAGATTATTAGTGAAAAATCTCAATTTTAGTAAGCCAGCCAGGAGCCAACACAGACAAGGAAAAACACAGAATATGCTCCTGGTTTACTTTCATGTTTTTTAAGACTAAATGATTCCTGTGGAAAATAACTAACACCACGCAGGGATGGAGAAAATAATTCCCATTGCTTTCAGATTTAGAAAGAAGATTAAACCAAGAAAAGGTTGCCCCCAAAGGTATCTTCTGTTCCCCAAAGTTTGCCCCAGAAGGTACCCAAAATTTACCACTTGATCTGAATCTCTAATCTTTTTCTTTTTCTTTTCTTTTCTTTCCTTTTCTTTTCTTTTCTTTTCTTTTCTTTTTTTTCTTTCTTTTCTCTTTCTTTCTTTCTTTCTTTCTTTCTTTCTTTCTTTCTTTCTTTCTTTCTTTCTTTCTTGTTAGTTTGCTATAGGGCACATATGCTCACTGAAGAGAGAGAGATAGAGAGAGAGGCAAACCCTCTGAGTTAGGAAGAGAAGTGGCCATACCTTCTCCTCCACTCTCCTCTTGCGATTTTGGGCACATGTAAACATGTACCCAGGGCCAGCAGGTGGTGTGGTGGTTAAGGGCTCTGGACTCCCACATGGCCAACCATGGTTCAAGTCCTGGACCTGACAGCTTGCACGCTCTCTCTCTCTCTTTCTCCTTCTCTGATCAAATTAAAATAAATCAAGTTAAATAATTCTTAAAAAAAAAGACATGTACCCAACTTTTCTTTTTTTTTCTTTCTCCAGATCAAACCATGCAGTTGGCCATTTGGGACCTAGCCACTTTAACCCCTACATCATCTACTTGGGATCTAGCCACTTTAACCCCTATGCCATCTGCTGGCCCCCTCTGTCTAAGCTTTTAAAAAGTTTTTCTGAAAAGTTCTCAGCTTCTAGGAATTGTTGCTGGAATCTCTCACAATACCAGGCATTGTTTTAGGCACACAGTTAACATGAGACTAAGTAAATGTCCAGACAGAGCTTCCTTTTGAGTTGTCTTTAACCGCCTGTCCTTTCTCTCCAAAAAACAGGTATCTCAGATGAAGACATTATCAACATTACTCTTCCTACTGGAGTCCCCATTCTCCTGGAACTGGATGAAAACCTGCATGCTGTTGGGCCTCACCAGTTCCTGGGTGACCAAGAGGCTATCCAAGCAGCCATTAAGAAAGTAGAGGATCAAGGAAAAGTGAAACGAGCTGGAAAATAAAATCTTTCCCAAGTGCGGGCCAGTAATAGATGCAAAAGGACTGGCGTGTAATGGGTGCTGATCTCTCTCTCTCTTTTTTCTTGATTTTCTAGATTTTTCCAGAGCTAGGCTGTGGGAACAGTTTGTATAGGTAACTTAACTTGGCCCAGAGAAGGCTCTAGGATGCTTGAGTGCTTATGTCATAAGCCTTATGAGTTATCTTTCCTGCTAGCTTTATTTAAATTAGTTTCCAAACTAGTAACCAGTGAGCTTTAATCAAGGTCATAAGTTTCTGAGATGGGAGCCCATCTCAGAAATAACAGAGATGAAGTTTAAGTATCATCATTCAGAAAGTCATTACTGAGTCACCACTGAGAAGCACTATTCCAATAAGTAATTCAGTTTTATATTTAATGAGACTTTTTGGAATGATAGTAAGAAAAATTAGATAATAAATAAGTATTTATTACTAGTCTTTTCCTCTAGGAAAAGGGATGCTTTGAGAGTAAGACCAGAGACCCATTAAATGGGACAGTAACATGTGGGTTCCCCCAAGAAAAACCCACAACCACCACCACAGTGACAGCAACAACAATAAAACCCTTTAAATTGTCTCTAATTGAGAGACATCCTTTGTTTGACGTTTAGTAGAATTCCTCTTTGATCACTAAGATGAGCAGCGTATAGATAACTATGGCTGCTTATGTTCTCTTTTGTTTTTGTTTTTTGAACTTTGATCTTTGGGTACTTGGTTTAAAAATAAAGTTTTGTGACTGCAAATGACATCCCCAGAGTGTTTTCATCTGTTTCATAAATTTTAGGTAGGACTCTGTATTAGTCTTTAACTCATATGTTTCTATAAGACTCAAAGAGTTACAATTACTCCAACACAGAGACACTCTTGATTTCTGTGAACTGAAGGTTGGGGTCAGGGAAGGTAGAATGTAGTACATGTAATTTTATTTATATGAGAAGGGGTAAATAGTATCTCGAGGATTGTCACATATACTTGTAGTTCATTAGCTGATGACAGAAGATTACAGTATGTAGCATAGAGTAGTCAGGGGGATCCTGCACAGAACTGACTACTTATGTGTCTTAATGTTACTTTTTTCCACAGTATAATTTTATGTGCGGTGGACATGTACATATGAATCATTATTTCCATAAGCTGTTGACTATTTCAGAGCAAATCACATATATTTCAGTGATAAAGTTAAGTAAACAATGAGCAGCTATATTGGGCCAGTTTTATAACCTAGTGGTTAAAGGAGCCAGATCCCATTTGCTGACCATGTGACTTGAAAAAAATGGTGGGCATGTATGTGTGCATGTCCAAAATCCCAATGGAACAGAGAAATGGATAAGGGATTGCAGCATGACCATGCCCCAGTGAGGTGTGCTTTATCCTCCTCTCTGTATCTCTCTGGTGCACATGCCCTCTGACAATCAAGAAAAAAAAAATGTGTTTTTTACAGCTATAATAGCTCTTCCAAATAATTGATTTTGTCATGGTTTCCCATTGGTGGAGTAGTTTATTTGTATATATTTTATAGTAAAATTGGCATTTAAAGGAAACTTTTCTTTTTAAGAGAAGTTTTTGCTATAGAGTGCGTGCACTCACTGGAGAGACAGAAGGAAACAGACAGAAAGCGAAAAATCATCCGCAGGGTGGATGGCCATGCTGCAGTCACTTCCCCTCCATTCTCCTCTCAGGATCTTAGGCACACACACATTTCACATGAGTTTCATGCTGCCAAGTCCAGGACGCGAACCGTGGCTGACGCTGTGGGAATCCAGCGACATAACGGTTATGCCATCTGCTGGTTTCTAAAGGAAACATTTGTAAAATTTTATTACTGCTTGGTTTCCATTTGATTCTGAATTCAGGACTCCTAGTGATGGGTCAAAGAAGATGGCAGAAGAGAAGAGATGAATCTGATTTGCTCACAGCTGGCTACAGCTGTGATGTGTGAGGATATAGGATGTGAATGCTTTATGTGTATTACCAACTATAGGTTTCTCCGCAGTGGTCCTTTGATTTACCATATATTATTCTAGTATTCAGAGATCTGAGTCAAGAAAGCAATCAGCAGATATTTCCAGTATAGCTTCATCTCTGGAATTGGCCTCTGAGCCTTCCAGCCTGAGTGTCGACCATGACTTAATACAGCTCAGGATGGTGGCGTTGGATCCTTTCTTTGTCCTGCATCTGGATACCTACTTCCAGGCAACCTCTGGCAGCATGGTGTGCTTCTGCACACAAAGCAGCACTCACATCCAGTTACTTCGGAATCTTCCAGACTTCCTATGATTGGAATGGTTTCTACTAGTACTTTCTAATACCATTTGATCTTACTGTTTTGTGGATCTTTCATGAAGTAAATGTGAACAGAAGAGACCTTTGTGAAAGCCTCACATAATTTTTAAATTTTTTTAGGTTTTCCCTAGGGCATGTATACTCACTAGAGAGAGACAGAGAGAAGGAAAGTAAGAATTTACTTCCCAGGGGTGATGACCACACCACAGTCCCTTCTCCTCCATTCTTTTCTCTGAATCTTGGTCATGCATGCACCCAGGACTTGGCATGATTTTCAAGCTGCAGGGTCCAGGACTTGGACCATAGTCGGACATGTAGGAATCTAGCGCCTTAACCACCATGCCGCCTGCTGTCCCCCTAAAATCACTTTTTTAAAAGAGTTGCCAGAGGGCATGTGCATTCACCAGAGAGACAGAGAGAGAGAGCACACCACCCCTTCCTCAGTGAGATCTTGTCATGATGCAAGGCTTTCTCCTCCATCTTTCCGTAATATTGGGACTTTGGGCATGCACACACCCATACATTTGGTTTGTTTTTCAAGCTGCTGGGGCTGGACCTCAAATCACTGTTGGCCTTGTGGGATCTGACTTCCTTAACAACTAGGCTACAGAGCGAGGCCTAAGATTACTTTTAATGCCAGTGTTTCAACTTTAGGACCACCTCCTGAACCTGTTCTCTTTGCATTGTTAATGGATTATTCAGAATTTTGATGTAGAATTTCTCTTATTTTGAGAATAATTATTAAAATATTTTAATTGATACCTAATGGATGTATGCCTAGTAATGAGATTTCTGGATCATTTTTCAGTACATGAATACAACATGTGATGATAAAATCAGGGTAATTGTAGGTCCACCATCCCAAACATCTGTCATTACTTTGTGTAAGGAAACCAACAAACTAACCTTATAGAAGTAGATTGTAGAATAATGACTACTAAAAGATAGGAAGCGTAGATTAGAGGAGAGGATGAAGAGATGATGGTTAATGGATACAAAATTACAGTTGCCTAACAGGAAGAAGTTCTAGTGTTCTATAACACAGTAAGGTAACTAGCTAACAATAAAATAAATTTATTGTATATTTTGAATGTTCCATATACATCACATTTTCTCTATCCATTCATCTGTTGATAGACACTAAAGTTGATTCCATATCTTTGCTATCATGAATAGTGCTGTAGTAAACATTGGAGTGGAAATATTTCTACAACATACTGATTGCCTCTTTTTTGGATATGCACCTAGTGATATTTCTGGATCATATGGCAGTTCTATTACTGTTTTTTTGATGAAACACCATACTGTTTTCCATGATGGCTGCATTAATTTACATTTCCTCTCTGCATCCTCATCAATATTTTATATTTTATCTCTTTTTGATAATGGCCATTCTAACTGGGGTAAGGTGATATCACATTGTGGTTTTGATTTTCATTTCATTGATAATTAGTGATGTTGAACATTTTCCATATGTTTCTTGGCCATTTTATATCTTCTTTTGAGAAATGTCTATTCAGTTAATATGCTTATTTTTAAAGAAATTATTTCATTTTATTTATTATTTTAATTTAATCAGAAAGAGAAACAGAGAGAGAGAGAATGAGAAAGCAAGCCAGGACTCGAACCGCAGTTGGCCCTGTGGGAATCCAGTGCTTCAACCACCATGTCCCTTGCCGGCCCCAATTCGTTTTATTTTTTAAACTGATTTTTTTTTTTTTTGCTAAGTTGAGTTCTTTGTATATTCTAGTTATTATTCTCTTATCAGATGTGTAGTTCACAAGTATTTCCTCCCATTCTATGGGTTGTCTTTTTGCTCTGTTGATTGTTCTCTTTGTCTTTGCTATGATTCACGAATCTTGAAAGCTGCCTAACCTGCATCCTAAGCTCAGTATCCTACTCTGTCTTAACCTGGGACTGAAATTAGGGATATTTAAAGGAAGACTAGAAATTTGGTCCTTGAAAAGGGCAGCCTTTGTATGTCTCCTTTGCCCAGGCTGAAATTATTATCTTAGTTTGGGTCCAGTATAATAAGATGAGGACAATAGCAAGAGCAGCATCAGATACGCCTAGAGTTTTATCTTTTTAAATGTCAGACTAGTAATGTTTCCCTGCACAATGAGAATTTGTTTTTCTAAAAGAGAAGCAGATCTACTTTACAAAGTAGAGTTTTTTATTGACTAGTAATAATTTGATCGCTGAATTAACAAAGCATTCTTGGTTAGAATTCATTATGTCTACTGTATTTTTCCTTAATACGGTGTGCTAGGAAGATTAATGTAATCTATTTTACAAGCTCAACCAGATTCTTCTCCCCAAAATTTGCAAATTCTCTCTCATCTTGTGTCATAGCCACTTTTATTAAAATGCAGTTCCCAGTGAATAGTAGTAATTGTTTATCTTCTAGCCTGGGAAGCCTCCTCATACCATCTCTCTCTATGTAGAATCTTTTATTTCCCTCAGAGTGTGAGCCTGTTAGAATCAGTCCTTGTTAGGCTGCAGGTGACCAGCTTGGTGACTGAAAGCAAAAAAATCCTCCTTGTCATGTTGCCACCCTAGGGAATGAGAGAGGTCAGAGGCCATGTACTCTAACAGCCTCTTACTCCTGTGCAGTTGTAGTGCTTACTTTTCCTAGCACCTTACTGTTTTTCTCATTTCACAAAATGAAGTGGGTAAAACAACTTTATTTGACAGAAGATTCATCATCCCTACTGTTATTTCTAATTTCATTTTTATGTCTTTATAAGAAATATGTAAGAGTTTCTTCATAGTTCAGATTCCTCACCTTGAAAACTTTTCCTACTTTGCATTTCCTCAGAAACACACCAAAATGGCTTTATTGTGGCAGATTCTGCTTATTTTCTTTTTTTGTCTTTTGTCTAGTTGGGTTTTGTAAGTTTTGGGCTCGTTTATATAGTATCCTTTGTTGTATAAAATCGTGCCTTGCCTCACAGCACATCTGCTCTGCCAGATACCATGTTATGCAGTAGCCTGAGGGGTTTCACTGTAAGGGAGAATTTAAACCACTGGTCCCAATAGGATTATGGAACATCCAAAATGTAAAAATACTTTAACCATCCAGTCTCCCTCTAATAAGGAAATTATTTGACAAGATTAAAGGCAGAATTGAAGTCAATTTTTTACCACAACTAGTAAAGTTTTGTTTATTAGAGGGTAATCTCTAGGCAGATAGCCTAGCCTTTTAGACCCTGGGACCTTAAATTGCCCCAGAAATATGTTGTAGATTCTTTTGACAGGTTTTTGAAGGTAAGTTAGTGTTACCATCACTTCCTATGTACACATAATAGATGATATCTTACTTATTGCCTTTCATTTAAGTTAAGGCTGACCACTGAAGCTTGTTTGCACCCTATTTAACAGGAATACATATATAAATATCACAAAGAACATTTATATACCTAGTACTCAACTGCCATATCCTTGAACTTTGACCACTGTTATGTA